ATTCGCTTTCGCAGTGAGCAGAACTAACTTCTACTCACTGGCGAAGTGAAATTTTTCTCTCCACGCCTAATTTATCTTTACTGCGCATGCACCTAATTCATTTCGAGCGAAATGTTTTGCATTTCGCCGAAGAAAGCGCCCATGGAATCAGGCCTTTACTGCAGTAATAGTTTTTCAGTAGCTGTTAATTTTTAACAAGGGTACTTGTGTTTTTCCAGTTTGAATTATATTTAACAAATATAAAATATTTTCCTTGTTGATATACAGTTATATCAACACAAGTGGAAATTGGGAAAACGAGAAATTGTGTGGAAACACGACGCCCGAAAGGCGGAGTTTTCCCTATTTCCATGCACGAATGTTGATATAATGTATATCAATACGGAAAAAATGTTTTAAATTTGTTTTATAATATAGCACAGAGAAATATAAAGAAAGAAATTTCCCGACGTTTCCGAGTTGACATTGTGTTATATCAACACGGCTCTTAGCCAATCAGCGTTAAGAAGTTACAAATGCTATATTATAATTGATATTAACTATTTTGCACATGGCCGTATGAACCATGGGGGCAAGAAGCAGAGGGCTGAGCCCCCCTAAAAATTCTAAGTGAATCTCGAAGTGAATAATGCACAGTTGAACACGTGCATGGCGCAGAGATTTATGGCGCAGAGGAAGATTTTTGGCGCAGAGGAAGATTTAATCTTTCTTTGCCCCAGCTCTATCCCACATTTAACCCCTAAATGCAGGAAAACGTGTTTCAGAGAGTTGAAAATCAAAAATTTTCCAGGGGGGGTCATACTCCTGGACCCCCCATAACGGCGGTTTGCGCCCGCCGTTCAGCCCCCCTAACTTCAATCATCTTACGGCCCTGATTTTGCACATCAGAATTCATTTTGTTATACCATAGTACATCAAATCCAAGTAAAAAAATTAGCATCCCTCCTTCACATTAGGAAAAAACGTCACCCCCTTTTAGTCACTAAATTTTAAGTCCCCTCAAAATCCTCTGTTGCCCCGGTAGTATACATAATGAATGCGGCCTTAACCACGGTGAATGCTGGCAAACGTGTTTTGGTTTGGAACAGAATCGTTGAACATGTTTGATCGAGAATATTGAAAAAAGCTAAAAAAATTACGCTGTCGTGTTTTGCTCAAATATAGACTATACCTTTTGGTATAACGTCCTGGTAGATACGAACCTCTTGGCCGCAGCGGAAAATAATTTTTCGTCCGAAATAAATCTATGTTTTTTTCTTATATATTGTTTTTTGAGCTTTAGAAAGTAAATGACATAAATAGAGTATTCATTATAATTTTCGTGTTTTTTACAAGGCTTTGAGACAGCAAGATATAGTCGTCCACAAAAAATGTTTACAAAATTCAACAGGTTATTGCAAAAAAGGCTAAAAAACCTACGAACTAACATGCAGTGTCCCACAGCAGCATGCATAATAAGTATTATATTTCTTACTGTTAAACTTAGTTACCCACCCTAATTTAAATTTATTGTTACCTCCCGGATTCTGAGAGACACGTGACCAGATAATACTAGGATATTTTCTCAGCAGGTGGCCGTGGCACCACAGTATGAGAAAAAATAGCCCGAGTACGAGGTTGAACCGCACACAGGCAGCTATTGTTTTCCCTATATTTAGTTTAGCTGCTATAAAACCAAATCATATTCTATTCAGTCGCACTATTCAGACTATTTCATATAAAATGTACATCTTGTGTTGGCTTCAATCACTGTTAGCCAAAAAAAAATTCGAGGGAAAAGTAATAGTAAAAAAATTGCCCATTCGGTTAACGCTTGTTTATAACTTTGTAAGCCTAATAATTCACAAATTTTGAAATTTCACATGCCTGTAATTAGTATTGTTATATAGTTAGTGTCAAAGTTCAATTTTTCTGTTTGCCGATTGGTCAAAACCGTGTCACGTGCCAGTCCACAAAACGTGATAAACAACGACGGTCTCGCGTCCACAAAACACACTGTTTTCCTCGGTCTCAGTAAATAAGTGATAACTAGTCAACGAAAGCATAAAATAGAACAAATCATTACAACTATTAGACTATTTTATTGCACCTAAATCTGGGTGCCACGCAGAGAGTTTCGGAGGGGGGGGGGAGGGTGCGGAAGTGAAAACCCTGAGTATCAGATTGGTGAGTTTCTTGGTTAGCTGGGTATATGAACAGAGTAACAAACCTTAAGTGCTTACTTCAGAAACGGCAATAATCCATCTTTCCTTTCGTCGAATACTTCTACCATATACGAGCCCCTGGCTCGAGTGATCGGGCAACCACACTCTGTGTCATTCGACATTAAATAAATTATTCTATTCCCGAAAGTACGTAGCCTAGGCTGTAAAGCTCCGTTTTCGGGATTAAGATCTTTAAGGCCATTAAATAGCTTGTTACAGGTGACAGATGTACGAAATTATAAAGTTATATTAGATGATATAACTTTAATACCTTCATATAGTTAAGTGATTGGTAACAAGATCAAGGGCTCAAAAGCCGTTATCTGAATCCTGAAGGTTCTATAGCCAAGTACTTTCTGGAAGGGCGAATTGTGTTGAACGCTTCATACAACATTTTCTAACAAGTCATATTTGCGTATGTAAGTTATGAAAATTCATTATTTATCATATATTTCAGGTATTTGGTGCAAACATTGACCAATTATCCGAAGCTTCTGATTGCACTGATCTCCAAATCAGCTGAAGGCATTGGTGCTGTGTTTCTCTCACTGTTTGATATGATCTGTGATGAGGTGAGTGTAACGTACCACAATATGTGTTTTTGTTTGCGGAAATCACCACGTATTTTATTATTGCAAAGCTTACGATCTGTTAGCCTGGACACAGAAGAGGTACTATACAGAAGCACGACTTCTTGGTTTTTCCTATGATTTTGGCGTAACCGTAATTCGTCATCAAAATGCTGATGAGACAAAATGCGCATGAGAAGCATTCACCCCCCCCCCCTGATAATATTACAAATGGCGGACCTCCAGGGGGTGGACAGATCTAGTCCTCTAATCATCAAGATTTGTCGTGGTCAGTCAGACCTAGCCCTCTAATCATAATGTCCTCACGATTGTCCAGTGTCATGGAAATACCCGATAGGATCTTTGCCATCTCACTATCGAATAGGTCTTGACTGTTTACTCCCCCGAACGCAAGACGTTTTGTATCGGTAATTTTCCCATGGCGTTGAAAATGTCGTGTCTTGTCTTGTCTGGCCTGGTGATGAATGACAAACAAGTGCAACCCATGGTTGAGGTCCAATTTGCTGAAAATGCTGCAATCCTTAAACGCTGTAATAAAATGTTCTGTAATGGCTTCTTGAACTTGGCGATTTATTCAGTGTTCGTAAATCCAGGCTGAGGCGTATGTCACTTGGATTATTTGGTTTGGGTTGTACAACCATAGGAGAACACCATATATAGGATGGCAATACCTGTATTTTTTTATGGTCATGCTAATAAAGCTCACGAATAGTGATGTTTTGTTCCACAAATTCTTGGAGTCGTTTCTGGATAGGTTCCATTAGGTGATATGCAACTCGTCTTGGTATCTGTGCAACTGATTCAGCATCTTCATCCATTAGTTGATGTAGCTGAAACTCTTCTTCGTTGTGGGTCGCTCTGCCAATTGCATGAAATAGATCTTGATATGGTTTGAGTAGCCCGTCAACACTGGACTGTGTTTCTTGCAGTTTTCGAGTACTGCAAGTACTCCTGGGTTTGTTCGGTTCTTTAAGTCGTCTGTTTCGTCAATCTTCACCATGCCCAATTCTTCTAGGGTTGTTTGTCCGAGTGAAGGTAAGGAGTTGATTTCCCCTTGAACGATATATCACTGATGCTTGTGTTATGCGTATCTCGTTTTCAATGGTTACAATGCATTCGCCTTTAACTGGTCGCTTCTCTTTCAGTGTATTTAGCTTCACTTTCGTCTCGTATACTTTAGGAATGTTCGGTATGAGAAATTTTCGGTATCGGTATACCGAAAAAATTATACCGATATTATCGGTATACCTGTTTACCTGAAGGAAATTTTGAGTAATTCTAAAAGGGAAACGTTTCGAACGACACGTACTCATTGTAAAATCTCACTCAAGTGGAAATTCTAAATCATTGCAGTAGAAAGTTACTTATTTGTATTGCCATTCAGTAGTAAAATAAAGGTTATGGTTTTGCCATATAGTTGGTAAATTTAACACGGCATACCGAAAAATTCCGGTATATCGGAAATTTCGGTATATCGGTATGGTTTGAATATCCGGTATCGATATACCGATATTGTTTTAATACCGATATTTTCGATATATCGGTATACCGAACAGTCCTAGTATACTTGTAGCTCTGGTGACTTAGTTTTCAGCTCTTGAAGTTGTATTTCATTCATAATGTTCGAGTCTGCACCTGTGTCTGGTTCAACGAGTGTTTTATGATAATTTACGTAAACAACACAGGATAAAGTCGTTTCATCACCTGTCGTGTGTATCTTTAAGTGGTTTACCAAGTCGCTGAAAAAAGAAAGCAAAGTAATTTTAATTGTAATTGTAGTCCTCTGATTGTCCCCGGGCCAACGGAAATCCGCCCGGCTATTTACCCCCAGGAATTTGCTACTGGACTTGTTCTGGATCGATTTGTTTACGCTTTTAACGAGCCGATTTCTTTCGAACAAAAGAAGCAAAAGCTCAGTGAGCAAAATAAAGACCGACGCCTGAAAGATCGCGAGGTATCTGTGTGTAATTTTTCTAAATTACAATTTCCAAACGCTGAAGGAGCGCGCTTGTTGAACCACGTGGTAAGCTTATGAATATATTAATATTGTATGCCCTACATGTAAATATTCAGTACCTTGTTTAGAATAATGTTTTTGCGGATATACACAGTATATAAATGTAGTCTCAAACCCTCCGTACCAGTGTTGGTAGGGATATTAAATAAATTAATAACAACACAAAGCTTCGCATTGAGAGGGATTCAACTGAAATATGCAAGCAAACCGTACCTGAAAAATACAAGCAAAACCTCAAAGTTTCAACGAAAATTTTTTTGGCTGTTTTAATCCTACTTGACAACCTAACTATGGAAATATTATCATTTCCTTCTCGAACATTTTGGTCTACGAGTAAAATGCATGCAAACTTTGTGTTTCGCTGCCATCTTGGAAAACATTTTTGAAAAATTATCTCGAAGGTCAATGAACTTTGTGACATCATTAGATGGGTAGCACTAAAACTACAAGAAAGAATTCTATTGCGTGCGTGTTATGTTAGCTAAAAATATGTCGTTTTGAGCGTTATACTGGCCAACACTCTTCGCAATCAAACAAGAGAAACCAACATATCGAGTGACTGGGAAAGCAGGTAATGGCGCAATTTACAATGCAGGTAATTGATCATAAAATATTGCATTAGTATTTGCCTTGTTACACTCGAATTTCTGCGTTTATTTGACACGGAGTAGGATATATACTATGAAAAATAGTGTTACAAACAAGTTACATTCTTGGTAAAACTTTTCTGTCTTTTGTTTTGCTCAAAGTGCACTATGAAATTGTGTTTACCCAGCTAATGACGTCAGATAATATATTTTGTAGCATAAATTAGCATACGCGTTTATTTTCAAAATGGCGGACAACTGTTGAACTTTTCTTTTTATCAAATTTTCTCAACAACTAAACGCGACAAACCGGCCAAAATACGAAATTGAATATTCCGTAAGTATAGCTAATAGATATAAGTAATAAAAATTTTGGTTGCCAATGTCCTTTAATAAATGAACGATAACGGGAATCAGGAAACGGCCTAATGCAGTATATCGCATCAAGGTTCGTTCAGAATACATTTACTGTGAACTGTGAACGATGATGTGTTAATACTCAGCCTGTCCTCTATAAGTAGCATACTTGACGCTAATTAAAGACACCCCAGAGTTTGGGGTGTCACGTGACCAGCGTGTACCAGGGTCTCTGCTGGAGCGTGTTTGGAAGGAAGCGGAAGTAGAGAGCCTGGCTTGCGAGGTTGGTAACAAGGTTGTTGCCGAGCCGATAGCAAAATGTGTTCGCAATGCTTATTACCAGTTTAGACAAGTCTGAAAGACGTTGTTATTTCACCTTGTAACAAGGTTGGTAACAGTAACAGTAACAGTAACAGTAACAGTAACAGTAACAGTAACAGACATGCCACAAGTTGTTCCAACAAGACCATGCAGGCCTGTTCGCAACGGCATTAACAGATGTTACAAGATAATAACAACGTCTTCCATAGTTTGCAACAACTGGAAACAAACAATACTAACCCATCTTGTTGACAAGGTCTGAGATTTTTATGCGTACCAATTTGACGTGACCCATGATGACCAATACGCGACTCTTGTTCGGTAAAAAAAAACCCAAAATCTACTAACCTTTCCCAAAACCTGCCAACCTTTCGGTATGACCTTTAATTTAATAGTTTAGGTTTTCAACCGCATAATAGAATTTTGCCGTTGTCTGTTCAGTTCTAGATTAAGAAATGTGAAAATCCGATCCGAAACCAATTAGCCATTTCCTAATCGAGCAAAGGACTGGGTCTAGTTGATGTTTGGAGGGACGTTTTGAGGGACAACAAGTTATAGTGAGCGAGCTAAATTTATATTAAAAGATACATTATAATTGTTGCGTTTTAGGCTGCACAATTAACTTTAGGAATGTTGGAAAACTTCCAAGATAATTAGATTATAATATTAAAAATGGCGGACGATTGTGTTCAAATAAGCTCTGTTAATAACAATCTAAATGAATGGGATTTTGACGATTCATTCATTCAAATGTGCCATCGGTCAGACTGGCATATGATCGTCACCCGGAGGCAAATATAGGAAATTTACAAGCTCGAATTGTGACTTAACCTTCAGTTGGAACTATGAGCGAGGTTTACTACCATTCCAAGGGAAAACAGGTGATCGTTTAAAAGAACTACTTATTAATATTTGTACGAATAAGGAAAGCTCGCCGGCGTATTGTATAGGCTCTGAAGCCGTCGCTTTAAACACAGCGTCTGAGAATGCCCCAAACAACAAAAAATCGTTGTATGACGGACAAACCGAATACATTGCTACTAAAATACCCAGTGACGGTGGCAGAGTTAATTCTAAAAGTGTGTTATCCCCACCGTCCTGTGATTACTCAACGCTTGGGGAGCTGCAAGATTTCATTGATCAATCGTTTCAAGACGTGATATTGCGGAATAACAACAATACGCTTCCCGCACAAGTTATTGATAGTTCAACTCCACTTCGTATACGAGTAGATAGTAACTCGGCTACCATAGAGGAACAGTTTGAAAGAATTGGATCGAAGGTTGCAGCTTTAATAGCTAAATTTTCAGAACAGATCGAAATTATTCACAACAGTAAACAGGAGTTATGTAAATTAACTAATGAAAATTTGAATCTGAAGTCACGTCTTAGGAAAAAGTTTTCTCCGACAATAAATCTACTTTACCTGTAGGCCTCGGTAAATGTAATGATCCCCCCCTCAGGCAACTTTCAACCCACCGTTGTTAGTAAAGATACCTCTTTCAATGCATTCCACCCATGCATCACATCTGAAATGAAAGCCCGTGATAATCCTTTGAATTATAATAATGGCTATTGTATAAAAAGCTTTAATACAGAGAATAACGCTGAATTAATTACCGCGGAAAACATTGTTAAGCAAGGGAAACCCAAAGAACCGGAAAACCATCATGTTAAGATCGCGAGAAATAGGCTGAATGACTTACCACTTACCAAGACAATATCACACAATCGCTCGGCGAGTGACACTCAAGTACAAAGACAAATCCCTGTGTTAATCACCAACCGTAGACCAAAAAAGAAATTTTATCCTAAGCAGAATAGAGGTATGTACGGCCAACAAGTTTACCAACCATGTTTTTTTCGAAATTGGCCCATACCCTGGCAAACCGACTGGCAGGAGTACCTCAAGTTTGTCCACGAAATGTTACACCCTCGCGTGACTCGGCCATGGCCACATTTAAATTAACGACCCGCCGGATATCAAGTAACTTAAAGTGGCTCCCTACAGTTAATACAGTTTAAAATACCTTTATATAGATCAGACTTCATCCTCGCGAACTGCACGTGGATTCGTCGTGTTCACTGTTCGTCAAAAATATTGAAACAAGCCGCGGGAAGTTTTTTGGTGTTTTTATCCACAAAGAAAGCTCCAGTTTTTCATTATAATCCTATATTTTCTGAATTCGAACAGTACGTATGTTATTAACCAGTTTAACCTGTCTTTTAGTGTGTTTTTTACATATTTACGTTCAGCATTGTCTTACATAATGCTCAAAATTTTCAACTTGTTGAGTTGCGAACTGAAATGATACTGTCTTCTATTAACTCTTGAACAGTAGTGAACTGTCGCCGAAACTTATGTAAGTCCTGTCAATCAATTCAATTCAATTCAATTCAATTCAATTCACAGATATCGTTTTATCTGCTAAATCAAATAAAACAGTTTAATATGAGTTGTTTTATATGAAAGTTTAAACTTGTAAAGGCCTGTTTAAACGGATCCAACATTGTTGGACCAACATCATCCAACAATGTTACTATACTAGATATGACTGCTTCTCTTTCAAATCTTTTTGGTTAGATAAGCTTTACTCAAACCCTAAACCTAGTCTTGACAAAATATTTGAAAAAGAAGCCGTTTGAGCCATTATTTCAACAATGTTGGATGATGTTGGCCCAACAATGTTGGATCCGTTTAAACAGGGCTTAATTCGATTTTTTGAAAAGTTTTCACATCGATTTTAACAACAAAAACAAATGTAAAGAAACACTGGATTAATACAATGCGTGATAGTGTTTTTATTATTAGTATTTTCAAGATTAATATTTTATTTTCATGTCAAACAAGTCAGAAATATCTGTTTTCGTATGTATTGTAAGCCAAAAAGTTTAAATCACTATAAATCACACGCTACAATTTACACGCATGTGCAGATCGTGCTCATGTCGAGTCGATTTTTTTTTCATGCTGGCCGTGCCGATTTTAGCGATGATTTTCTCGTGTTTACTTCGGTGAAATTTTTTTAAACTTTATATTTTTGTTATACAAGACGAGTGGTACAACATATCCAAATTGTAAAAAAATCTACAAATAACTTTTTCTGTAACCGTCATTCACGAATATCTCGAAAACTTATTTGTAAACCTCCCTTCAAATTTTGATATATTTTTCCTTTATCGACCATAAATCTTAAAAAAAAATTTCAGAAAAATTCACCGAAGGAAAATATAGATATTGTCAATTTATTGTGAAATTAGACAATAAAAGTGCAAAATATTAAACGCCAAGTGGACAGCACACAGCTTCTGAACTTTCCTGGAAATGATCATATTGCCCTGTCTTAAGTGTATTTAATATAAATTCGGTTGAAAGCGAACGTTACTCGAAATACCTAGAATTGTAGAGAACTGTAGGGAGCCACCTTAATCCAAATTCCTTGTTGTAATATACAAAGTTCACCCATTACAAAAGTTTCTCTCCCTTCCCTGTTCCTTTCGAATACTAGGTCCCTTGTAAACAAAATTGAAGATCTCGAAATTGTAATTAAAAACAACGCTGATATTGTCTGTATCACAGAAACTTGGCAGAGTGCTAATATCGCAGATTCAGTTGTTGACATCAGTGGCTACACAATAGTCTGTAAAGATCGGGTTATGCATAAACGAGGTGGTGGTGTTTGTGCCTTTATTAAATCTTCCATCGGTTTTACAATTATTGAAGAATTGGACAACCCTCTATTTGAATGTATTTGGTTATATCTTCGCCCACCCAGACTCCCACGTGGTTTTTCGTGCATAATTATTTGTATTATTTACCACCCTACACTCGATGACAAGGCTGGTCTCGCTGAGTACCTAATCTCTTCAATGGATAGTACTCTTGATAAAAACCCAAATGCTGCAATATTCTTGGTTGGTGATTTTAGTCGTTTCAATTTCCGAATATTGAGTAATAATTTTAATCTTCGACAATTGGTAAAAGCTCCAACAAGAGGAAGCGCAACATTAGATTTGATCTTAACAAACTTGTTTGAACATTATAGCAAACCTGACATTTTGGCTGGTATTGGACTAAGCGATCACAAATCGATATTTATGTGACCGTTAATGCATGTCAAGAAGAGAAAAGCGAAAGTTGTGTATAGAAGGTCTGTAAAACCACATATGAAGGACGGGTTTGGAAGGTGGTTAACGTCAACTG